ATAGTAATTTAGACTGATTCATATCCTTTTTTGCTCTTTCCCCTTTCTTTCAATTTTCCTTATCTAGAATAGTATTTTTTTAATAATTTTCTATTTATAGGAGTTTTTATTATTTTTCCATCAGATCGTAACTTGTATACTCCTTTCTCTAAAACTTTATGAACCACGAAAAGACCCTTCCACTTCGGATGAAGTTTATGGCTTTTTGAATATTGTTGAGAAGCCTTATATACAAATACTTGCTCTTCCTTTTTAAATTCTTCTATAGGTAATAAGTTTTGATTATGTCTTCTTTTAGCATTTTCTTGTGCTTTCTCAACTCTTTAACAGCTTCATTTTTTTTTTTAGGCAATACTTCGATTAGATCAAAAAGTCTTTGAAGAAATGTTCCTTCTAACAATTCTTTATTCTCATAAATATGGATAGAAAATCGGGCTTCTCTCCTATATATTAAATAAAATGGAGTAATTTTCGTCGTATTCTGTTTAGCAGTTCGGTATGCGAAAAGTACTGAAGGTATCATTAAGTCCCATTCTCGGACATTTGTTATTAATTTAGAGATTGATTTACAAAGTGTTTTGTTAAATCGCTCTACTAATCTATTTGTCTGTAGATGATAGAGCGTCAAATAATAGTGAGTAATGGTAAATTTCTTTAAAAATTCATCCATTAGATTATTGCGGAAATGGGTCTCTCAGTTAGATAGGAGGTATTGTGGATATCCATGTCGACACACGATGTCTTTATAAATAAAGTTGGCTACTTCTTGAGCATTGGCATTCTTGATTGCCCTTGCCTCAGGCCATTTGGTCATATAGTTTGTAGCAACTACTATGTACCTATTACCTTTAGGAGTTACAGGTAATTTTCCAACAATATCAATTCCAATTTTATAAAATGGAACTTTGACCGGAATTGGATACAATGGAGGCTTTGCTAAATTCTTTCCTCTTCTTTGACAGGCATCGCAAGTATGGACGAATCATCGAATATCGGTGTATATCTGAGGCCAATAATATTTATTTCTTACTTTGTTAAACATAATATCTACTCCAAAATGTCCTCCCAATGGATGGGTATGTATTAAGTATAAAACTGATTCAACTTCATATTTTTGAATCACTTTTAATAAATGATTACTCTTATGTTTATTTTTTTTGTATATTAAACCATCCTTTATGATGAAGAATTGACTTTGGGCTTGAAGACTTCGTTGTTCTTGTGGAGTTAAAGTTCTTGATAATGTATGTTCTTGAAGATAATTTTTCAACAATTGATATCTTAGTGACTCCATTTTCCTAATTTTGCCAGGACACCGACTACCTGGACCAGATTAATTTTAATGTCGGATTTCCTTGAAAATCTTGTAGATTCTTTTCTTCTGGATTATTTAATTTCTTTTTAGATTTGACTTTCTTTTTAAATTTTCTATTCAACTTCTTCTATTACTTAATTTTAAACCTTTTTACTAATCTTTTTTAATTACACTAATCAGGTTCAATCTCCCGCAGTACTTATTTATAGTAGCTAACCCTGCCAATACCAGGCTTGATACGCATATTATAGGTTTGAACACATCCTCAATTTTCGCATAGTACCTATTTTAGCATAAGCTCCGCCAGTACTAGGCTTGATACATGACTTACAGGCAGAGTACCTCTTTTTTTTTTTTTTTTTTTTTTTTTTAACTTCTATTTTTAGTCTGCTAGTGTAATTTTTTAATTAGTTAAATGAATTTAAAATTTATTTTTGTAGAATTTCGATTGAAGTTCTTAACAATTTAATGTTTTATTTATAAATCTCTTTTTGTTTTAACTTTGTTTGATTTTTTTAAAACTCTTTTTAAGTTCAAATTTTTTTAATTTTAAATTCTTTTCTTTTTGATATATTCTTGATAGTGCATTAACATTCGAATGTTTCCTTTTGGCATGGTGTATGATTGAATAATTATAAGGCTGTAACCTCAAAATCCAACGGGCTCTCTTTTCTTTAGATTCCGAGGTATAGAGCCATTTTAGAGCGGCATGGTCTATAATTAAAGTGAAATGTTTTGTATCCAAATAATAATGGAAGTGTTCTACAGCCCACACAATGGCTAAACACTCTACTTCCAGGGCGGAATAATTTCTTTCCATTTTAGAAAGTCCATGACTGGCATATGCTACTATATATTCTTTGTGGTTTTCATCTTTCTGGGCTAAGATAGCTTCTAACCCTACACCGGATACAACAGTATGTAGGTAAAACTCTTTTTTAAAATTTGGGTACCTTAAAATAGGTGCCATTATAAGGTGTCATTTTAACATTTCGAATACTCTTTGCTGATTTTCATTCCATTTATATGGAATATCTTTTTCTAATAGTTTATGAAGGGTTGGGCTATCGTAGTGAATCTGTTAATAAATCTACAATAATATGAAGTTAGTTCAATAAATCCTCTCAATTGTCTAAGATTTTCTGGTATAGGAAATTTTTTTATCTTTTCTGTTTTAGACTCATCTGGTCTTATTAATTTCAGATTTGAAAAAGGTACACTTCTCTGGGTTTAATTTTAACTTAGCTTTTCTTAATTTACTAAATATAATTTTTAAATGTTCTAAGTGCTCTTCAAAAAAATTTGAGTATATATTGATATTATCGAGATATACTACAGCGAAATTTCCAAGACAATTACCAAGAACTTGATTCATCAACCTTTGAAAAGTACCCAGGGCATTACAAAGACCAAATGACATTACTTTAAAGACGTAAGTACTATATTTTGTTATAAAAGTAGTCTTTTCAATATCAACTTCACTTACTTCAACTTGCCAATATCCACTTATTAGGTCTAAAGTAGAAAACTATTTAGCCATTCCAAACGTATTTAGAAGGTCATTAATAAGTGGCAGAGGATATGTATCCTTTTTAGTTACCGAATTAAGTTTTCGGTAATCCACACAAAATCTTAGTTTCCCGTTTTTCTTCGGTACTATTACTACCGGTGAAGCCCAGGGACTATTTATTTCTATTATTAGTCCTTGTTTTAATAATTTATTAATTTCTTTTCTTATGAATTTGTTTTCTTCATAAGCAGCCCGCTAGTAGCTTTGTCTTATTGGAACGGCGTCTTCTGTATTAATGCTATGAGTCGTAGCATTTATGCGCCCCATATCTTCAATATTTAAGGCAAATAATTTTTCTTCTGTAAGCAAAATTTTTTTTGCTTTATCTTGTTGTTCTTTGGTTAATTCTTCATTATTAACCATTTCTTCTATTAATTCTTTTATAGATTTTCCTTTTTCTTTATCTTCTTTATTTTTCTTTGTAGGTATTTCTTCAATATTGGTGAGGTATAACACAGGATTTTCTTCTAGTAGTTAACTTTCGATGTTTTCTTCGTTGAATTCTTCTTCCTCATAGTCGAATTCGTCGAAAGTGTCTCTGCCTTCACTATAGTCATCTTCATTTTCATGTGAGTTAAGACTTTCAATACCATTATTTGAGATTTGTATTTCTGCTAATCTATCAGCATATTGTAAGTATAGTTTCTGTTCATCAAAATGAATTCTGGCTTTAGTCTTTTGGAACCAATCAGTTTCTAATAACAAAGTATCATCTGAAGACTCTATAACATATAGAGTTGTAGGTACTACAACTTCTTGAATGATTAGTCTAACATCCTTTATTTTTTCTAATGTTTTAGCCTTTGCTCCTGTTGTCATTACTACGGTGATGGATTTATTATCTATCTTCAGTTCCAGTTTGTCTAGTAAGCATTTCGATATAATGCTTACGGCTGCGTCTGAATCTAATATGGCTAGTACTGGATTATTATGAATGCAAATATAACACCTAGTGGTAGTTGTGCGATGTTTTTCTTCAGGGTTAAGATAATTAGTTTCTTTAAGAATGGCCGGATGTTTCAATATCTTGGCCAAATTTCTTCTTTGGTTTGGATATTGTAAAATTTGACCTACTGTAGCACTAGTAGGTAAGGATAAAATATTATCTGCTACATTATAGGGTTTCAAGGCATCAACTTTCGAAGGTTCACGCTTTCTTTTTGTTTTATTTAAAAGTGATAAAGATTTTTTAACTTCTAAATTTTGTTCATCTCCTAATTTTTTTTGAGGTACTCTAACCTCTTTTCTTAGTCTACCTTCCCACTTAGGATCTGCCGGGCATTTTGTAACTTTTGAAGAGGTAATATTATTAATTGTATATACTTCTTTATCATTGCTTTCTTCTATCTCACAAAAACTAATAGTTTTTAAATTGTCTTTTCTTTTATCAGGATATGGATACTTTGTTTTTTCTGACATATAGTTTTTAGTTGCATGTTCTATTTCATCACAATTATGGCATTTAAATTCTTTTTTCTTACATTTATAATTATTTTGAGGTCGTCCTCCTCTATAAAAATTGTTACAGGGACGATTTACCCTTGTATCCTTTATTTGTGCAGTTAAAGCTATATAATTTACTGTTAAATTTTCTATACTTTCTTTAGGTCTCTTAACTTATTCCCTACTTGTCGCTGTACATTCACTACTTCAAAAGATCGTTAGCTATAATTTTCTCCAGCTTCAACCCTTTTTGCGGCGTTGATTGCTTCATCTAAATTTCTAGGTGCGGCTACGGATACTAAAGTGGCATTATTGCCTTTAAGCTATTCAGAAACATCCCGATGATAAACCTATCTAAAAAGCCATTATCAACATTAATCCTATTAAGTAACTTAGTAAATTTGGTGGTATAAATATCCACTTTCTCTGTATCCTTTTGTCTTAGTTCTATCTGCCAACGATGTTGATGTTCCTTGGGGGCAAATTTTTCTACAAATAAATAGTAGAAACTTTTGCTTCGATCTGCTTTGTTATTATCTTTTACCTTCCAGTATTCTATATTTTCTTTAACTCTTTTATACTATACAGCTGCCATTTCTTTTAGATATCCAGACGTGATCTTTACTAAACGATCTTCAGACCAATTATTGGTATCTGACGCTCTTTTGAAATCATCGAACCATTCGAAAAATCCTCTTCATCAGTTCTATAAAAGTACTTAATTTTCACCATATTACTTTCCTTTGGTGAGGTTTTAATTTCTTCTTTTTTAGTCAAAGCTTCCATAAACTTATTAAATTGTTCTTCATTCATTTTTTAATAGGTATATAACGCGAAGGTTTATGAAGTTTGAATCTCACAGTCACCACCAAATGTTACGAGGTGATTTGTATCCTTTACTATAGAAAATATGAAAATAGATAGTTTT